AATATTTGTTTACTGAACTGTTTGTTGTTTATGACAGACCGTCTGTCCCATGAAGTGAGATGTGAAATATAATTGTTTCCATTCAAAGTAAATCCATCTCATTTGAGGCGTTGCGCTGTCCAGATGCTCTGCGTGGCTCCTTGCTCCTTGCTTACTCATCAGTTTTAGAAATAAGACATGGTTCATATTTTAAAGACAACACCCACACACATTCTGTTTGTGCTGAACAGCTTGTTCTTATGTGTGTGTGTGATCATCAGCGACCTACTAACAGGATCTGTGTACATGTGATAATTCCAAACTAAAGTCCAATATTTACCCTATAAAAGTTTATCATCAGTAAACGTTAGATATGAGAGAGAGCAGAGCTTCAGCATGCTTCCTCTCTTACATCAGGCTTTTAGAAGTTAGCTGAGCTCGGATAGTACTATCAGCGACATGAAACCCTTGTATGCTGTGCCTGTAAAGTGTGATGTTTTTAAACCACTTAGCTTTTCTATTCTTACTCAAAGTCCGTTTTGCTTTTTTATTTAAATGCTAAAAGTTCATGATAGGGTCTTTAAAAATGGTTAAAAGTTCCAAAACAAATATCAAAGTCACTATATTCACGGTAACAGGTAAAAAAGGTTCAACCATCTAAAAGAATGGTTCTTTATTTTGAACGAAAATTGGTTCACGTATTTTGTTTATTCATTTTTTTAGGTTCTTGCCAGTCTACGAACGGTGAGAAGTAACTTTGCTGTTCTGACACATCTGCAAGATCGTGTGGGAAACAAGTAAGAGCACAAACACGACGTGGAGCGGATGACTAATTTGCTCTTTTGTTATTCTACCGACACCTCATCTGTTTCGTGTTTCAGGCGGCCGTCAAGCAGCAACCAGCCGCCCATGTGTAATCCATGTCTCACAGGTCAGTGTTAATACCCCTGGGTGATGGGACACTGAGAGGTTCTAGTTCCCCTGTGACTAATGGTGCCTTTCTCATAGAAAATGAAAATGTTGTTGTCTTTTTAAATACATAGACAAAGAATTAAGTGATTGTTGATTCAGGTAAATCTGAAAGATGTGCTTCTTACAGTTAAACAGATGCAAATATAACAGTGCTGGGAAATGAATGGTGAAGACATTAACAGTCAGGACAGGTGCAGCATGACAGGATCAAGTTTTCTCTTACCAAGATCAACAGCAGACCCATGCAGCATGTTAAAGATGTGGATGTTTCCACAGCAGTCCCAGGCGTAAACTGCAACGTGTGTTTGTTTGACCTCTGACCTTTCAGAGGAGCCTTACCAGAAGCTGGCGATGGAGACCCTGGAGGAGCTGGACTGGTGTCTGGACCAGCTGGAGACCCTGCAGACGAGACACTCAGTCAGCGAGATGGCATCCAACAAGGTGAGGTGATTCAACTCAGCTGTGTCCATACCGATCATTAATGCTGTGAAGAAGTGCAGGTGGAAAACAAAAGCCTCTGATCTATGCCCATTTCTTTATGTATTTATGTATTCATTCAACTGAGTATCCAATCTGTGCTGTTTGACTGTCTGTTGGCAGTCTAGCATCCAGTTTTCAAGATATCATTTTTAAATTTTGTGTGATGGTAGATACCGATAACAGCTCCAGCTGAGATGATTTGGTGCAAATTGGGTCACACAAAAATATAAAAATCCATAAAAAACTAAATATTACTCATTTTTTTCTGAAATACTACATTGACTAAAATCTTTTAACTTTTTCTTTGTACTTTAGTTTGTAGAGAGAGTACACAGACTGGCTGTGACTGGGCTGTAATAAGGTAGATGGAGGGGGAAAAGTCAGTGTGTCCTAGGAGCTTTGCAATCTAACCTCATGCATCAACTACACACGAGATTTTCAGCTTTTTCATTGTAGTGCAAACTTGCTTTCACTGTTCACAAATTAACTTTGTACAGGA